ATGAGCACCAATGGGTGAATACTCTAGGACCCGTCTAACTCCGTCTAAAGTGGAATGAAGGACCATAACTGAAAGGGCGAAACTCTACCGTCATCTGATTAACCGATAGTGAGTGCTACATTTGATTTGGCATTATGAAGGAGCAGGCCAAAGGTCGAGTATTCGTTCCTATACATTACATACGCTTTTATCGCCATTACTCATTTTTCAGCCTAACCCACTGCGACTCTCCCCGCACAGTGATCGCTCAGGCAGTGCGGCGTCTGAAGGTACCGCCTCATCCGAGGAGTTCTGTAAGTCTCCCCTCCTCCAGTTGTCCATGCGTGTTGGTGGCGGCTCCCCACTTTTTCCGAACGAAAACCTCTTTCAAATTCGCTTAATAGAAATGGGATGGGCGGTCTATTTCATGCCACTCGCTCACCTCGCTTAAACCCTTTTCGACTTTGGCTGTGTTGAAGGCATTGGTTTGTTTGTCCAAAAACCGTGGGTATTTAAGGCACTGGAGGGCATGCCGCGTCATTTCTGGCTTACAGTTTCACTTCTTAACTTTCAGTTCTCTGTCCTGCTGTTCTATCTTCTGCGGTTTGTCCTCAGCCGATCTTGCTAAAGTCACTCCAATGACCTCAGTAAATTTGCCCAGCCACCTTCATCTTGTTGGGACACTTGAAGGGTTATTTTTATTTCATATCCAAAGTCACATGTGCGTCGGTAAGAAGCGAATGGTGCGTTTAGGCTTTCTGTATTCGTCCTGATCGTCATTGGCAGTGGACATGCCAACTGAACTGTATGAATGAAAGCAGTGATTCCACTCCAAACGAAGTAAAAAGGAATCCCCTCTTGAAGACTGTCTTCTCTTTCTTTTCTCGCTGCGTTGAGCTCCTGGATATGTCATTCTCTAGCTTTAAACCACAACAACTGCTAGTCAGGAATGCGGTGACAGTTACTGATCAAATGGGCATTTGAATGCCATTCTGGAGCACTTTTGCTTTTTAAATCTGGTCAGTCTATAAAATGGCTTCGAGAAGGTGCTGTGGAGGGATTAATTCTCCACCTGGTTTTTAATGGCATGCTTCTAGCGCCCCATAAATCGCCTCCAGACAAAGTGAGGCACAATTTTTGGGCAGAACACGCATTGCCGTCCTAGTTAGGACTGGGAGGCGGCTAGCGTTCTACCGTGAGGCTTTAAGTGTCTGTAGAAAGTATTACATGACACCCTTCCCTCTTCTGTAAGTTGACGTTGCGTGCAACTGAGACGATTGCTGACTGCATCGTCACTGATGCCTGGAAGTGCGTTGGGGAGGGAGAATTGGCCGACCGTCTCGTATCCCTATCGCCACTGTCGTAGCTGAAAGCGAAGCACTTTTTTACTCTCCCTCCTCACTGCCATTCAGCCATTTCTACTCGAGTTCAATGCACTTGCTCGCCTCTTTACTCGATGTCTACGGTCGAGTTCAACGCCAATCTTTACTGCATTTCCAGCAGATCACGGGACTGTTGTAAGTATTGAATGTTGGCGTATCACTTAGGCCTCCTTGCTGAGGATCATCGTGTGTTCT